TTGAAATTTTAAATTGTCCGTAAACAGCTCAAAATGAGTCAAAATATAATTAAAATTGTTAAGGTGTATAGAAAATGAGAATACAAATATTTAGTGAAGTTTTCATGAATTTACAGTTATTCATTTTTCAATTACAACAAAATAAAGAAATCGATAGGTACATGAGAAATCGAGTTACTATCCAATGTTGAAAATATTTGAACTTCAATCGCTCATACAAATTTTATTTGACTTTCTGGTACAAATTTTTTTTTTACAAAAGTACACAAAATTATGATGAATCTTGTATAACAGTTTCAAATCTGAGTTTAAAAAATAAAAATTTTTATAAAATTTACTAAAATAATTTGTGAATTTTCGTCATTTTTACGTATTTTTTCAATATTTGACCTTTAAATGCTTAAAAAAAAAAAAAACTGTGACGACGATTTTTTAATATTTTTCATCTTCCTTTGAAAAATATATCAGGAGCCTTTTATTAAATTTTCAATAGTTTTTTTCAAAACAAATAAAATTTTATTGATATTTATAGAAAAAAAAATACTAAAAAAAATCGAAACTGAAAATATCCGTAAACAGCACAAAATAAAACTTGAAAATGTTATGGTGTATAGAAAATTCTGATATAAACATTCTGTAAAAATTTGATGTTCCTATTTACGGTAATTTGTTTTAGAATTATACCAAAAACTAAAGTCGATTTGTCAAAAACCTTTTTAGCGTAAAAATTCCCGTTTTTTCTTATTAGATTCTGAGCGGAGCGATGAATATATTGGTTTTACAATGATGTGTGTTTTTATATTTTTTTTTTGTGTCTGTCATCACGTTTTGGGACAGTAAAAGTGCTTGGATTTTCTTCATCAGTAGCTTTTCTGATAGGAAAATGAATCTAGTTGGTACTTTGGGGGGCCAAAAGTAAAAATTTCCCAGTAGTTTTCACAGGCGCCGGGAAAAACCACATCAAATTAAGGAAAAACGGGAATTTTTACGCAAAATTGGTTTTCCAAAAAATCGATTTTGATTATTGGTGTAACTCTAAAACAAAAGAACGTATATACATGAAATTTTCACTGGTTGTTTATATTTGCATTTTCTAAACACGATAAAATTTTCAAAATATTTTGATTTATTTTGAACTGTTTAGGGACATTTTCATTTTCCATTTTTTTTTTAGTTTTTTTTCTAAAAATATCAATAAAATTTTATTTGTTGATTGCAAAAGCTTGAAAATTTAATAGAAGGCTCCTAATATATTGTTTCAAAGGCAGATGAAAAATATTAAAAATCCTTAGTCACAATTTTTTTTTATAAGCATTTTAAGTTCAAAAATTGACAAAATATGGAAAAATCACGAAAATTAGCAAATTATTTTGAGTTAAGAATTCGTAAAAATTTTTCTTTTTAAATCAAAGATTTGAAAATGAAACACAAGTTTCCTTATAAGATTATCTACCTTTATCAATAAAAAAATCTCTACCGGACAGTCAAATTAAATTTTTATGAGCGTTTGAAATTCAAATTTTTACAACATTGGATATTCACTCGATTACTCATGTAGCGATTTCCTTATTTTGTTGCAATTCAAAAACGAACAACTGTAGATACATGAAAATTTCACTGAATGTTTAAATTAGCATTTTCTATACACCATTTAATTTTGAAAATATTTTGACTCTTTTTGAGCTGTTTATGGACATTTACAGCTTTCATTTTTTTTAGTTTTTTTTTCTATAAATTTCAATAAAGTTTTATCTGTTGGGCCAAAAAGTGTAAACATTTAATACAAGGCTCCTGATATATTGTTACAATAGCAGTTGAAAAATATTAAAAATACATAGGCACAGTTTTTTTTTATAAGCATTTAAAGATCAAATTTTGACAAAATTTATCAAAATCTCGAAAATTATCAATCATTGTAATTAATAAATTATAAAATGTTCAGTTTTTATAGCTAAGGATTACAAATTCAACACAAAGGTTCTCATAAATAGTTCATACTATAACCAAAAAATCTAAAAAATATATGAACACACTTATTTTTTACAGACATTTTAAATTCAAATTTGGACGAAATTACATACCTAGAATAACTATTTTAGTTATTTTGTTGTGATTGAATAATATTATTCGTGGGTACTTGAAACTTCTAAAGTGTACTATTATATATCTATGATAGTATCACGGTTTTTGTTGATGTATAACGCGTTACCAGTACCTAATGGATATTGTGATATGATTAATTTGGAATTTATTATAGGTACCTATTATAGGTCAATTTTTTGTTTAATACCATAGATATGTATATAATGTGTCTTATACATACTGACATACCGTCTCCGCTCAGAATCGTTTTTCTTATACAATGATATTATATCGTTGAATTCAAATTTAATATCATCCATTATACAGCGACCCACTTGTAACCTACTGTACAGCAGAGCGACACCCACTTGCCCACCTTTTTATGATCATAACCACATTGCCTACAGATTATTAAGCATTAGTACAGCAGTAGTTTATAGTCATTTTTGCCCAAAATTATACGGGTTATGTGTAGGTTAAATTTAACCGGACATTGTAAGAACGGAATTAAAAGTTTTATAAATCCACGAACACCTACTATTTTTAAATTACAACAAAATAAATAAAATCGTTATTCTTTGTTTTAATAAGTAATTTCGTCCAAATTTGAACTTATAATGTCTGTAAAAATTAACTGTGTTTTTAATAGATTATTTAGTTTTTTTTTGTTAGAGTATGAACACTCACTATGAACTATTTTTGAGAATTCTTGTTTTACATTTTCAATCCTTAGCAATAAAAGTTGAACATTTTATAAATTTTACTACTAAATAGTAATTTGTAAACTATCAATTTGATAATTCAAATGTCTATAAATCACTGAAAAGTCGAAATATTTTGAACATTATATAATGTATATTATGATAGTTTAAACATTTGATGGACATTTTAAATACCGACGGTTAATAGTTGTTGAATAACAACAAAATAAGAAAATCGTTATACGAGAATCATATACAAATCATTGTAAAATCAAAATATTCATTCATCATTGCTCCAGTAGTCCACTCTAAAATACAAGCTAACACACAAGCCCGGATTAAGGGGGGGGGCAAGGGTGGCACGGTAACGGGGCCCATTGATTTTGAGGGCCCATCTTTATCCCCAAAATATATTTTTAACGCTTCCAATACATTTAAAAAAAGATATATATATTGAAGTAGGTATAGGTATAGGTAGTAGATAAATTTCTATTACTTAATAAATAATAATTATAAAATAAGATTGTTCTCAATTTTATATTATGAAAAATTACTATAAATAATGAACTGTGTTGGTAAACACAATTTTCATAATGTTTTTTTTTCTGAGTATTTTCGATTACTGATTTAACTATTAAGTATATAAGTAGTTATAAGAAAAACATATTTAGCTCTTGTAAATTAAGTATTTCAGTTAGAAGTATTAACGCATATTATACTAAACTTTCGAGGACCATAGTTAATAAGTAATATATTACATATTTCTATATAATATATATATATAATGTATTTTATTAAATTGTTGTAAAAAAAGGCTAAAAGGCTGAAATCTAAATTATAATTTGTTTATTTTATTATAATGGTTGACTTTTTATTAGGAATAAATGGCAGTGTTAATTTCAAAATAAAAGTGTTCTCTAAATTAGTGGAAGCATAAATGCAATAAGGGGAAAATATACATTTTGGGTTATCAATTATCACTTTTTTTTTTTTTTTTTTTTATTGATCTAAAAGTTAACATCGACGACAAAGGCCATTAGTCACAAACAAGGTTTTTATACAATAATACAAGTAACAATAATGATTAATAATTTTTTTAAACAAGACCGAAAAGTTTTGTTTGTTTCAGAAATTTGATTATATCCAGGTTGTTTTCTTGGTTGGGTCCGAGTGCAGAATCGAGGTTGTGAGATATGTTGTTCGCGGCCCGTTCTTGGTTGAACTTTAGACAGTCGGCAATTAGGTGTTTGACTGTTAACAAGGTTCCGCAGGTTTGTCAATTATCACTTTTAAATGGCTTGAAACCGATTGAAAAAAATTTATGTTTTAGTTTCGATTTATACACTGGTTTCCAATTTTTTTTTGTTTTGGATTTAATACCGATTTCCAATTTTTTCCGATTTTGTTTTTGATTTTGTCATCGGTTTCAGTTTTTTTACTTTTGTTTTTCCTTGCGCTTCTGAAAACTATTGGGAATTTTAATTTTTGACCTCTCGAATGCACTAACTAAATTCACATTCCCATCGAACAAGATACTGTTGAAGAAAATAGAAGCAGTTCTACTAAAGTTAAAAAACACCACGTTGGCGTTGTATTCACTATAATTTTGTTATTTTCTGGCAGTTCTACAATGCGGTATACGAATTTCAATCACCTTACAAAATAAATATAATATATAAACCGAAATTTGGCTTGGTGCTAATTTTTCCGAGCTAAAGCCTAATTATTCGTCTAATTTGACTGGAATAAAATAGTCAAATTGGCCATAGTCTTTTAATTCGATCTGAATTTATTTATACCTACTTTATAAATGCTTTGCTATACACGCCACACGGCATAAAATCCCTGACAGGACAATAACGTTTTACGTTTCAGAAAAAAAAATATTTTTAATTGTCCATATTATAAAATTATAATTTATATCTAAATATTATTATGTTTTTGGTATCTTTTATATGGTAGTGTACTCTTGTCTATATTGTGTTGTTTGTGATGGGCAAGAGCCGCCCAATCGTAAAATATATTATTATAAAATAATAAAAAAAATTACAAATACAAAAATTATAGATATATTTGCTAGCCATAGTAGCGGTCCAACACTTACAATCTGGTACCGGCCCACTGTGCTTTAGAATAGTGGCAAACCGTGCCAGTCCACTACTGTTGATAATCATACTACATACATGTTATATATAGCATATCTATAATACCGACGGGTCAACACCAGAGAGGGCCAACATCGACCTCCAACCACCTACAACAGAACGAAGGCTTGATGCGAAGGCAACCGGAAAGCGAGGACCCAACGGCGACACCACTCAGCGTATCAGAACCCTAAAATTAAAATTTGTCTAAAAATTCCTTCTTTTAATATATCCCTTGACCAATTTATCATTTGTTTCAAATTTCACAAAAATATTTCAGCTGTATCATTTAAATATATTAATGAAAATTTTATGTGCTGACAAATTTTATCAACATTTAAAAATGTATTTTATACAATAAAAAATGTAATTTATTAAATATTAAATATTGACTCATTATTAATTTTAAAAAATATTTATTAAAAACATGATAGGTACAAAGTAAAATGAAAAAAGGTTAGATTAAAGGCTGATTATTGATTATTTTTTTTAATCTAGAAATTATACAATCTATACTAAAAAAAAAAACAATAAGCATAATGTATGTTTATTAAATTAAATTAAGTGCAATAGCTCTATTTAATATACTTTCAAACTTACACCTTCAACCATGATCTTAGATAAATCTTGTACACTTCTTATAGCTTTTAGTCCACAATATTTTCTGAATTCTGAGTAGCTTGGTATACCATGATCGCGGGTTCGTTGTATATCCAAGCTGACAATGTCCATTCCGAACACGTGGTTTGGACGAGCACTGTATAAGTAATTTGTAAGCTGAAAAAAAAAATTCGAATCACTAATGTTAAAATATAGTTGAACGTATAATTTAGTCTGTTAAATGGATGATGTCATCATCAATAATTATGATTTGTTAAAGTTCCATTGCATTATATTTATTGTATATTTCAAAAACCTACAGTTTGAGTAAATAGCATATCGATTTTTTGTGTATTCTGCGTAGATAGCCCTCTGACAAGCTGATCCATGTAATTTGACAGTAAACCAGTTGGTCGGTTGTAATGTTCCTTTAGTGAAAGACTTGCGTTGATCACTCGGTGTTCCGTATATAAACTAAACATAAACGTAGGTTCATAAAAATTATTAATTATAAGTATGGTTCTCTTTAGACACAAAAGCACAGCAATCGACATCTTAATATATTGTTGTGTAGATTATCAATTTTGATTATAAATAGTGCATGTTATATAGAATCATGAGTGATGAGTCATTCTAATTGTGTTGGAACTTACGTACCTATATAAGACCCTGACATTGCCCAAGCAGAAGCCACTCTATACCGGTGTCACGACAAAGTATCGCACAATGTGGGACTTGATTGAACAAACATGGTTTTTTATATATATATCAGTATCTTTTCTTGTGGGGAAATTAAAAATGTTTTTACTTTTGTAAAAATTGAAAATTTACCGAATTTTTCGGAATAGAAAAAAAACTAAGTAAATAATAGCTAACTATAGCTATTTTGTTTTTTTATTTGAATATTAATGGAGCGTCTCAAACTCATTCGTTTTAATCAGTCAAAGTTACGATCAGACGAGTGAGTCCACTTGCTTAACGCCATCGCTACTGTTTGACCAAATATATTTTATATATATAAAAATAAATGTTCGTGTGTAAATTAGACCTCTGGGTAGAAGATAGTCTAATTTAAAAAGGGTTAAATTTGTTTTTTTTTTATTCATCAGATTTTAGTACGGTTGGGTTAGGATTTTATATTAATTGATTGCACCTATTAATCCACCGTAGGTGGAATTAAGTAAAAACGATAAACTTAGTATAACTTTGGTCATTGATACTCTAGAGTTAAATCATACACTTACGTACAAACAGCACGGGGTCCGCATTGCCTACCTGATAATATACTGCTGCGAATCAGAATTTATATTCCGGGCAACGGAAAAGTTAAGATAAATTTTGAACACCATACACCAAATATTAAATAACGAATTGAACAAAGCTTGAGTCATAAATAGTTGGTACATTTAACGGGAAACGAAGTGCACTGGTTCATAATAATCATAAAATATACTTATTAATAATATATAGACTGACAGACTGTCATTGTTCAGAATCGATTTTCGTATACGAATCTCATTGAAGTTTAACAAATCAATTATCAAAGTGACCCCTTCTAGACGGTAAATGAAAAATTACTATGGTCTATTGTGTTTCCAATAAATGAAATAAAATAGGCGGAATATTGTTACTAAAAATATTTTATTTTCAGTGGTTCAAAAAAATTTTAAAAAATAAAATTAACTTTATGTTCACAATAATAACAAAATAACAATATTGCTACACTAGAAATCGAGTGAATATAAGATCTTGTAAAAATATGAACTTCAAACGCTCATAAAAATTTAATTTGATTTTCTTGTAGTCATTTTTTTTTTTTTTTTTTGATTAAGGTAGACAGCCTTATGAAGTATCTTGTATTATATTTTAAAATCTTAGATTTAAAAAGAACAATTTTTATGAATTTCTAACCCAAAATAGTTTTCGTGAATTTTACGTATTTTGTCATAATTTGAACTTTAAATGCTTATAAAAAAAATTGTGACTGGATTTTTAATATTTTTCATCTTATTTGAAACAACATATTATTAGGGTTCTGTTATATTATCTAGCTTTTTTACCCAACAGATAAAATTTTATTAACATTTATCGAATAAAAAACTAAAAAAATTGAAAAATGAAACGCTGACACACATAAAAAAAAAATAAATAAAAAAAAACACACAACTACTATAGAATACTATTGCTATTATTATAAAATTAATAATATACCTAATTGACAACAGCAACTGAAATTTTTTAATTCATTTTTAGATACATTTTTTTGCTAAACTTTAATCTTATGACCAACTACTCGTATATTCAAAATTTAAAATAATAATTTTATTTTTTAATTATATTTTTTTTATATATTTATTAATTTTTATTTAACTTTTTTCCCTGGATTTTTTTTCTGTGCCTTTTTTCCTACATTCTATAAATGGTTTCCAAAATTAAACTAAATATAAATTTACAATAGTCTAGTAGCTGGTTCCATATAAATATAAATTCATAATAGTTGCAATAGTCTCCCAATGGTATTTAAAAATATCCATTGTAATTTCTTTATTTTAGTAACTATTAATATTTAGATGAATTATGTATTGATTATAGGTGTTAAACATCGGTTTAGCCAAACATTTTTTTATGGGTATGCAAAAAGTATGTGTACCACACTAAGCAGTGGGGGGCTTTGCTTAATATACAATATTGTTAGTTATTATTAAAGATTCATTTTGAGTTAGTGAGACTCAAAATGAATCTTAGTTTAGACATTTCAGGGAAAAATAGCTAACCTTCACTGGCTTCACTGAATGTTTATTTAATCATTTGCCATGTATAATACAATTTTCGAAATGTCTTGACCCTTTTTGAACTATTAATAGGAATACGATTTTAAAATAGATATACAAATGTTCTCATTATCTTAACATAATGTAACCATATACAGTATCTAAATAATATTTTCCACTGCTGGATCAGAATCTAATAATATAAACATAAATTTATAATAGTTGCAATAATTAAAAATTACCATGGTTACGTTGTAGATTAAACTAACACTTCTCTAAAATTTATCTAAAGTGTAGATACTTTATGAATGTTCAAAACTATAGTACCAATTTTCCGACAATCCTTCCTAACATACTGTTTTTTTTTTTTAACTTTAAGAGTTACCTAAATAACAAAATATATTCGCTCAAAAAGTTTTAATATATATACAAACATTGAAATTTGAATAATATAATATTGCTTCAGATTTTGAAATTAAAATATGTAGTTACCATTTAAAAATCAAAAGCCGATTATGGGTTCGCCGGGGTGAATAATCACTTTAAGGTTTTTTTCACTTACACATTCATCTAAACAATTGCTAAGAAAAATGTTTGAATGACTAGGATTATTCACAGTACTTATTTATCAAATTACCTCCCTAAATAACCTACATATACACGATAATAATAATAATAATATTATTATACCAGGTGTGCACGAACCTGATAGTGTCGCTTAGCATGGAATTAGCGAACGGTAATACTGCGGTCGCAAAGCTGTTGCTGACGCTCGGGTCGGTGGTCTCGTTGTAAGAGTTACTGTAGCCTTTTGTCGGCAGTTCAAGCCCGTTCCACCTGGTGTAGTTTTCCCCGAGCAGCGCTGGCAGCCACTCATTGTAAGTGATGTGCTGTATGGATGCCGTAACGATTTTCCTGGCCTCCTGAAAAATACGTTCATCGTCCCAGTGCGGGTTTACGTGGGACAGTAGTTTGGCCAACCGGTTGTGTTCCCTCATCCACAATGTGTGCATGACCGTCAGTTGGGGAAGCGCGTTTGCTCGGATGTCACCAGCCCTATAACACGTGCCACTGCCATACTGACAGGCGCTTGATTCGGTGTCTTCCAGTGGCATATACTGTGGCTGTACCGGGTCGTCTTGGCTATTGTTATAGCAGCCCATGTTTGTCAACAGTTGGCCGCCCAAGTTGGTCCTCAATGACCATGTCCGTTTCGCCGACGAACCGTAAATCATCGACCCATCTAAATAATGAGTAGCTTGGTTCATCTGCGAAGAATAACCATGTTAAGAAGTTAAATTTGTAATCTATGTTTATCTATGATTTTAGGGGAATTTGAAAAGTCAGTTCTCAAAACTAAATAGGAGTATCAAAACTGTGTACCACTAAAATTGGATACTGTTTTTTTTTTAGATAGATTCTTTTTTTAAATTTTATTTATAATTGTAATGACAGTATATATAAAGTTACCAATCTTTTAATTATTTACATAATTTAAAGTATTATAACCAATATAAATATACGTTTATGGTTATGAAATTATCTTATATTATTCTTACTTGTTCCTTGGGTCCAAAAGTACAATCGGAACGCACAGCGGGCACTGAACGCACGTAGTACATACAACGAGCATTGTTTCTGAAAAATGGATCTTCACCCGGTATCACAACTGCCAAGCACAACTCGTGGTATACGCTTCCAGGGCGGAGCTCATTCCGGTTATCATTACAACACCTCACAGGTTCATTACTGTTCACTAAGGTAATATAATAATTTGCATACATTAATTATGATCAACCAATATAGATGATTATTGTTAATCTACTCATTATAGAAATTGCCGTGTGAGATAGATCATGGCCTACAAAAATCGTCCAGTACGCCATTGCCATCGTTTTAAAGTCATCTGGTGAGTGCTCGTCTTTGACAAATGCAACGCTCAGTATTCTAGGACTGGGTCTGTAAGACGAATAAAAGTCTTCGGGAACTTCTGTATGGACAGTAAATGAAATCACATCATTAGATCCACACAATGGTAAATTATAATGTTATAAACATTACCATTTAAACTCATTCTATAGTTAGGATACAGTAAACGTTTATAAGCCGTGGTTGCTTTTCCCGAGAAAGAACGTTTCAAGTTGTTACAAGAACCATCAGGACTACGATACTTTAAGTTCATCCCGATGCACGCAGATTTGTTGTAATACAATGACAAACACATCTCACCCATAGATGTCTTATCTAGTTTCACTTTCGATAAGTCTATGGCACAAGGTGTTTCATAACTATAAAGATAATGAAAATGGTCGTTAAATTTATGCATATTAGGAATATTTTTTTTTAATGAGATTTATATTGTATATACTTTCGACATTCGTAAGTGTCTATCGTTTCGGAAGCTTCAGTAATAATTTGAGCATGAAAATATATGAATACAGTTCTTCGGAAAGCTGAGAATCAATCAATAGTCCATGCTCTGGGCTTCCAATATCCAAACTAAGATGAGATTCATATAAATCTTCAAGTATCTTAACATGTTTGACAACATTTCGAATATGATCATCTAATTTTTTGGTTTTTAGATGTAGGTACCAGTCGGCTCTTTTTATTTTCAAACCATCATCTATACAGACCATTTAATCATGGTTATCATTTTGTGTGAAAAATAATCAAAACTAAAGGTAAAGTTATGATTTATACCTTCAAAGTAGAGATCATCTAGTCCCGGGTAACACGGTGGTAAGAATACCAACACACAAATCCACAGATGTATAGATATCGAGGAACTCATTCTGCTAATTATAAACTATAATAATTTAAAAGAAAATGTTAATTATTAACTATAAATTTAACTTTATATATTTTATATATTTTTACTATTTCAAGAGCTTTTATATAAGCGTAGTTGGGCGTATTTTGCGTATTGGGAAAACCTATATGCGCACTTGATAAACAGTTTTCAACAAAAAGAAAGGCTGAAAGCAAACGGAGAAAAATTAAAATATATAAAGTCCTAATATTGTGTAATGTATTAAATTTGAATTCAATGATATTATAATATCATCGAATCGAAAACCATTCTGAGCGGTGGCGGTTTGTAGTGTGGATAGTTTATTACTATATCTTATATTTTTCGTACTATTTATAAATACGGTAGTGTTAGCCAGTAAGTTGAGTAAAACTACTCTAAATATCAAAACAATCTATTAACTAAACTGTTATTCTTGTATTCAATATGTAATTTTCCGACCTAAAATAACAAAAAAAAATTGTGTTAATATATTTTTGAGATTTTTTGGTTACAGAATAATCTGAACTACTTACGAGAAACCTTGTTTTAAATGTTCAATCTTTAGCTATACAATTTGTACCATTGATACATTTTTAACTGCGACTTTTTTTTAAAATCTGCAATTTGATAAAAATGTTGTAAAAATCAGGAAAATGTCCAAAGTATTAACATAAAAACCGTATGAGATACCCTTGAGAATAATCTTACATTTTAATTATACAAGCGGTCATTTCACTTGGGTATATAATTAAAACCCTACCTATTTCGTGGAATCCTATAGGACAATAATAATTGTTTAGTAAAGTAGAGCATTTAATGAACACACTCATAGAAAGACCACATACAATATATTGCACATTATAAAACTAACAGGTTGGTAATTAATTTTGTAAAAACTGCTTATCAATAAGTAATTATAATACAAGGGGATATCATAATAATTGTTGAAATACACAAGCTAAAAGTAAATAATAATAAAATAGGATATAGTTTTTAACTATATAAATGTGAAATGAAAATCTTTGTACAGGAACTACTCTATCAGATCTTCTAGATTTTTTTTTTAAAACGAAAGAGTATATCGCGAAGAAGGTTTCTATGAAAGAAAATTTTTTTCGAAAATTGTAGGAATTGTAGGAAATCTTTATGTTAAAAAAAGTTTTGAATACCATACACTGAATATTAAATAGATAACGAATTGAACAAAGTTTAGGTCATATAGGATTGGTAAATTTAACGGGCAACGAAGTGCACGGGATCTGCTAGTATAATATAGCAATAAGTATAATCTCGAGTATGTTACAATGTACAATAGTGTTACAATAGGTAATATAATTACGACTACCGACCACACTATACAATACAATATAATATGTGGTATGGTATTATATAAAATAAAAATGTACATGTACTCTGCGTCTGATGTATGCCTTAAGTAGTTAAGTATTACAATGTGCAGGGCTGGGCAATTAAAGTGTTAAATAATTAAAGTAAAGTTTAAAAGTTAATTATATTTAACTTTTTAACTTAACTAGTTACTTTTGGCTTTTCATAACTTAACTATGTTAACTTACTAAATTTATTTTTTAATCAACGTGCAATCAACGAATTAATTTTTCATTTTAAGAAGTAGGTTATGTTAATTTATTTTGTTTTTAATTTTATTCTATTTTACTATTTCGGTCTA